CATTATACTAATTTGCATTCACTCTACATGATCTTTATAGCTGTGCTTTATAATTGCACACAGATTTACACCTCCACAACTGAAGGACCCTTGAAGTTTGCACCAAGTCCAAATAGATCCTTTGCCCATAGAACAAATTATGAAAAGATGCATAAACATGTTCATTTTTGCATATAGATACATTAGTTTTTTTAAAGACCTCCCGATAAGGCACTGTTTATGCAGAAAGTTTATTGACTGACCTGGGTTTCTTTACAAGTGTGGAAGGAGAAGTTCTGCAGGACTCGTATGAGAGCAAGTTTCATGTTCATGAGTGCAAATCTCATGCCAATGCAGTTCCTAGGTCCATTCCCAAAGGGCATGTATATGTAAGGATCAATATTCTCCTTGTTCTTCTTACTGAACCTGGTTGGAAATAGTAGATGAAAACAAGTTCAGGGAGCAATGGGAAAGAGACCAAAAAAAAAAAAAAAAAAAAAAAAACCAAGATGTGTTATATGCGTGCACAAATTCCCCATGATAAATGCAATCACTCTGTTCTGTAAACATGTACTAATAAAAACTTTAAATAAAATAATAATCCAGGAAAAAAAAACAAGTAAATGAAACAAATGCATAAGAGCTACAGATTTGGAGTTCTCAGCTACATCCCTCAAACAAGAATATACGTGATATTTCGTGGGTTGCTCATCAAAAGCTGCAGTAGTTGCTTCACTGTGAGAACTATACGCTAAAGGTCATTTGCACTCCTCATGCCCTCTAGGAGATTCTAGTTCTGTTGGGATGAGATGGGGTGAATGCTGTTTGAAAGAACATGTATCTCTAGACAGTAACATCTCATTCAAGATGATGATGTATTTCCGTTCTGAAGGCACATAGGAGTTAGGCTGAATAACAAGAAAATATCTTCTCACCTCCACTCACACTTATTTTAGTCAGATGCTCATTGAGGAAGTAGGAGGAAAATGACTGTTTTTCCTTTCCCTACTCTCTTCTTTTCTCACCAGTTTCATCATTATTATTCTTCACCCCCTCCTCATCATCATTCCCAAAACTCTTTTTCCCTTTCTCTCCTGCTGCATAGAACAGTAAACATCAGATTATATACAAGGGCAAAGGATGATTCTCTATTATTATTACTGATTTTTTGTCAATCTTCTCCACTAGGTTCACTTTTCATCCTTAATAAATTGGGAAGGTATGTTCTTGAGATAGACACAAAGACCAAGAACCACCTACACATAAAACATATCCCTGAGGAATACACATTTTCAAGGGAAGCCTGGATACTGTGGTAAAACTGTCTACCATAAGAAATCTATAAGCATCAACACAAAAAACAAAATAAAGAGAAAATATCAGAAAATTAAAATATATCCCTTGTTTTTGGTATGGAGAACCAACATAGTGAAAATGACCATACTCCAACATTGTTATACAGATTTAATGCAATCCCAATCAAAATACCATTAGCACACCTCAACTAACTAGAGAAAACATCCCGAAAATTCATTTGAACTGGAAGAGAACTAGAATAGCAAAAAAAATTTTAGACGACAAAGGCAAAGCAGAGGACCTCATAACCCCTGATGTGAAATTTTACTACAAAGCTACTGTGATAAAAACAGCATGGTACTGACAAAAAAGCAGACCTTAGGATCATGGAACAGATCAGAAGATGCAGAAAAAACTCCAAACACACTCACCCATTTTATCTTTGACAAAGGAGCCAGACACATTAACTGGAAAAAAGATAGCCTCTTTAACAAATGGTGCTGGAAATACTGGCTTTCCACATGTTGAACACTAAACTAGACCCATGTCTACCACCAAGCACTGAGCTAAAACCAAAATGGATCAAAGATTTAAATGTTAAAGCAGAAACACTAAATCTGCTGGAAAAGAGACTAAGTAGAACACTTGAAGACATAGGTATAGAGAAAGATTTCATGAACTAAACCCTGACTGCACAGTAAATGTCACAAACAATCAACAACTGAGATCTCATCCTATTGAAAAGCTTTTTCACAGCAGAAGAAATTGCGAGCAGAGTGCAAAGAAAATCCACAGAATGGAAAAAAAATTTAGCCTGTTGTCTCTCAGAGAAAGTACTAAATATAGATCATTCAAATAATTTAAAAGAATCAAACCCCCAAATTTAAAGACCCAATCCAAAACTGGGCACCTGAGATGAATATACACTTCTCAGATGAAGAAAAACAAATGACAAATAAATATATGAAAAAACATTCAATATCACCGGTCATTCAAGCAATGCAAATTAAAACAATACTGTGATTCCATCTCACTCCAGAAAAAGTGGTTATCATCAAGAACTCAACAAATAACAAATGCTTGAGGGACTGTGGAGAAAAAAAGAACCCTTCTCTACAGTTGGTGGGAGTGCAAACTGATGCAACCACTGTTGAAATCAATATGGATATTCCTCAAAACACTACAATTAGAGGTCTCATTAGACCTAGTTATTTCCTTTGTGAGTAGATTCTCTGAGGAATTATCAGCAGCATACGCCAGCAATATATGTGCACCAATCTTTATAGCAGCACAGTTTGCAATAGCTAAATCTTGGAACCAACAGAAATGCCCATCAACCAAGGAATACATTAAAAAAAAGATGTGGCTTTTTTATACAATGGAGTAGTACTCAGCCATGAAGGATAAACTTGAGATTTTTCTAGCTAAATGGATGGAACTTGAAATCACACTGTTAAATGAAATGCATTGGACACACATGTAAATATTGCATCACTTCTCTGGTGTGAGAAACTAAAAGAGTAAATATG